TAACAAACATCACATGGCTTATCTCCTTCAGTTCTACTATTTAATTTATCTGCTTTAGGAAGAAAAGATAATATCTATTTAGATGGATGCCCTAATCTGCGATGCCATAACTCCCATTCATCCATACCTCTTGTTCTATTCGCCCGAACCGGTGTTGCTCCTCTAAAATGATAGACCCCATCACACTGCTCACCCACTTCGATCAGACTCCTTGAGGTTTGGTCCTGTATCACACATAGCTTTCCAGTAAAAGTGACAGTATAATTTATCTCTCGCAACAATTTTGCTACGGAAATAAGGGTGCAGTTCATTCTTGGTACAAAAAGCACATGATGTAGATAAATATTTCCACCCAAATGTAAAGTCCCTTCCTTCACTGCAGTGGTTTGCTTCCCATTGGGAAGTTCCACCGAACACGGTGTAATATTTCGTACATCCATCAATAAGTCAATTTCTCCAGTCATATGGTGTGACGCCCTGGAATCAATTATCCAATCAGTAGAATTTTTCTTACCAGAGAGGCTTTCCGCAACATCCCCGGTGTCGTAGTTGCCAATGGGAGAGGAGGAGGAACAGTTCTCGCTGCCGCTGGTTCCGCTCGAATAGGGAGAAGAGGAACAATAGCTTCGTCTCCGCTCTTCTGGGTTGGGTTCGAATGGAGGGGACGAGCTATAGTGCCGATCTGGAAAAACTGGAGTACAAGGTCTGGACTCTGCTGGCKCCAAGCGAATGCGGTGTTGCTCTCAGCAACTTCGTTATGGCTCTGATACCATGAAAAAATAATCTTTGTGGAGAATCTTGTTTCATTATGCAAGGCACAACCATATATATACATATACAATCGATGCCTGAAATTTAGGAGCAGGAGACTCACTTGTAGTAGTAACCTACCTACTAATCATACCTAGCTAAAGATGCCTAGGGAACTACTAGAATTTGTGCCTAGAYACATGCTCATCCATGCTTTCCAGAATTTTCTAGTCCATGACGAATTCCAATACAAAGAACACATTTTCGGTCCTGGGATCTGAAAAAAGGGATTGTTTCACCAGGATATAATTATTAACAATTCTCTACAAGAATAATTGGAAACGATGGGGAATGGGAAGCTTCCAAATAAACTTAAAACATTTATTCTGGATARAAGAGATTGAGGATAACTGATTTTGCTAATCCTACGCATAAGCCTGTTTGGTAGAGAAGTTTCTAGATGAATGAGCAGTCGAAATCCCCCAAGGGTCTCCCTACTAAAATGAAATTGGAGGGCTTTTTGATCCCAAGATTCATCCACTTTAAAAATCTGAGATTGAAGTATTCATTAGATTTGCAGGAGTGGGCTGAGGGATCCAGTGATATTTTTTTTTTTTTTTTTTCTTTCAAGATCCAAAGAACTTTATCTATTTCCATAGAGGAATTAGAATTCACTAAGAAACCCACTTCTTGAGATAATTTTTTGAGTTGAGGAGCCACAGATTTCCAGAAGGAGCTGGACGAACTAACGCTAAAAGGAAAATACAGATGATCCCTAAGATATTTTCCAAATCTGAGCCTAAAGTTTGTGCTGCTCGTTCAAAAACTGCCAGACTAGCTTCCTTAACAAAATTAGGTTCACAGTTCTTCTTACCCAAAATTGGCATTTGGATTCAACTTTTATGACCTACACTGAACCTAAGTATTTGTTTTATATAATATTGATGATAAGAGATCATTTAATTAGATGAAAGCATATTTTCAAACTGGAAATTTACTAACACATTTTTTTAAGCCAAAACAACATGGTTTTAATTTATTTTAGGAATTCACAATAAAAAACCAGTTCACATTGGAGAACACCCCCCTAAAGGTATCAAAGAAATAAAAGCAATAACAAATAATTTATCAACTGATATACTCACAAGTCAATGAAAATGCTTTGTGAAATCTTCTAAAAACACAAAATCCTTTGACATACCATTGAGTGTTAATAGTTAATATACAAGTGGTCTAAATTTAGGCAGATTCTGCTGATTTTAAGTTGTTTAGAATTAAAAAAAGAAAAAAGAAAAAAAAAGTTTAATTGGAATTACTTTGCACTGTTTGTCTCTTTTTCCTTCTCTTGCTTCTATTACCAACTGCTTACCAAGGGCATAACATATAAGCATATTTGTATTTAATGAAAGGGTGCAACTATAATGTCATAATCAATTGGTATCATAAAGTGGTAACAAATGAGTTCATCAAAATTTACAAGGAAAGGTTTGGATATGGCCAAAGCTCTTCCAGTATCATACCTTCCTAGCATCACACATTTTTACTAGGTAAAAAAAATGTGTTGGCAGGCCAATGGTCAGTTAGCATAAGGTGAACGCATAATGCATAAGTTACAATTATTATTATTTTTTTTTTTCATTTTTCTACTCATTTTAGGATCAAAATACTTTTGTGGGTCATATAAATAATCAGAAAGTAAAGATGTAAATTTGCACCTTCGGCTCCGCTTGTTTGCAATATATTCATTTTTATCAGTACAAACGTAAATTTTGAATTTTCACTCTACATGCTTTTGCATCAGCACAAATGAAATTGAGGCAGTGCAAATGATTTGAGTGTAAATTTTGACTTACTTTTGTTTCAAATTTTAGCTTATTTTGTTTGAATGCAGTACAAATGAAGTAAATTAAGGCATGCAGCAGAAAAAGGTAAAATCCAAAACAAAATTGAACAAAAATTTGCATTTTTTTACATTTGCACTCTCGTACATTTATATTAGTGCAAATAAATTTGCACTGCCACCAAACACAGCCTGAAGTGCAAGCAAATCAAGTCGTCTACACGTATGTTGCAGTGCTCGTATTAGTGTATTGTGAGAACTGTGAAGTCAGGGTTTAGGCCATTTTCTTCTCGTCACACCATGGAAACTCCATGTGATGGAACGAAAAACAGAGTGGACCAGGTTCCTAAGGTTGTGCTTGAGATCATTATTGTTAACACATTTTGGGTTGATTAACACAGATCAGACAAATGTATTATCACTTCAAATATGAGTCATATTGATGTTTTGGTAGAAACAACAATTTATACTGAGATTTGAGATCCACTCCCACTTGCACTTGCATTGGGGGGTCATGGGTTTGGGGGATGGGCTACCCCCGTTGTGTAGGAGCTCGGATCTCCTACACACACCTAYCCACAGGAGAGATGCACACTGGAAGCATCTTTGTATTTACATGTCATAATTTATGGGGAGATGTTCTCTATGTACAACTGTAATGTCCTGTGGGTAGGAGATTCAGATTCCTTGTGTAGCCCCTTGCAGTAGCAAAAAAAAAAAAAAAACAATTTGTATTCTCGTAAATAGGTTAAGCACTGGATTGGTTGAAAAATCTTTTTTGCATGCTTCCAAAATGAGGAGCTATATTGTAAGTTATTTTATTGTTGGAATAAATTTTGTTTTGTTGAGCCAAAAAAAGAAAAATAATATAATTTGTATTGATCAATAATATTTCAGGTAAAAACAGTAATGATGCCAAACACAACTTAAGTTTGGGACTGGGCATCTGGGCTTTTAAGTTTGAGTCCCGATGGATTTGTCAGAAATTGTTTCCCTAAAGTCTTATAGAAATTCAAGTTATATGAACTTATACCCATTACCCAAGCATGACCAATATAGAAATTCAAACTATAAGGATCTGTTTGGTTCATAGTAGTGGGAATTGGAATTGAAGTCTTTTAGAATAAAAAACGAAATAGTTTATTCTTATAATCTGTTTGGTTCATATAGGAATCAAATTCGGAATTAAAATCAAATGGAATGGAATTTCATTCCCAAAAAAGGAAAAGGGAATGACATGAGAGAATGCTATTCCACCAGGAATAGAACTGATATTCTAATTCCACCCAACCAAACAGTTTGAATCAAAATGGCCAATTCCTATTCTGATTCTTTATTTCTGCAAATCAAACAGGCCTAAATTCCTATGGTAAATATGTCATGTCTCTTTTGCTTTTGAAATTTATTCCGCACGCACACAGGAAATGGGAAATAGGAAACATCCAAAGCACCAAAAAGGTCAAAGCTGTCTATACACATACATCAATAAACAACATTGATAGAAAATAAGCATTGCAATCTGTATATATAGAGGTATAATCTAGTTAGGGTAAAATGGCATAAGTTGTTGGTTCCTGTAACCGCAYAAAAGGATACCTCCGTTCACAGCTCCATGTCTTCTTTAACGAACACAAAGAAAACGAAGGATAGGACGYAACTTACAGCTACCAAAATTGCCATCCCTAATATCAAGCATATATATATATATCATCATTGTCAGATACATGATCAGCACAATACAAAGTCATAGCAACGTTAGCACATTAATTTCTTCACTTAGGCTAAAGTAATGAGATTTTCTTTTTTAGGTAAAGAAAGCAATAAGATGTTTGATCAAGATTACATTAGGTTCAGGTTTGCCTTTGTTATGTTTGTTTTTTAGGCTGCGTTTGGAAATGATGCAAATGGAGTGTAAATCTCAGTTCAGGGTAAATTTGCATTCTGGTTCATTTTTGCCTGTGTTTGGCAACATTATATTTTTGCATTGACAAATGATAGATCAATGCATATTTACACTAACAATAAGATGTAAAAGCAACATCAATAAAAAAGAAGTAAATTTGCATTCAAGTGGGCTTTTGATAAAAAAAAAATGCTTTATTAGAATTCGTGTTTGTATCTATTACAACTAAAAGTCTGTTTGGTAAAAAGGTAAATTTGTCAATGCAAAACTAACCCAACTTTGCATGAACAGTTTTACACTCTACATATTTGCATTGTTTCCAAACACAGCCTTAGGCTCAGCTTGGAAGGAGTACAAATATAAATATATAGAATGTAAAAGCAAAACCATGTATTTTGTATTATTTTATGTGTACTTGTACAGTACATATTTGCATTTGTACTCTTTCTAAATTGTGCCTTTGGCAGTGTTTGGTTGCAATGTAAATGCAATAATACCCGTTGCAAACTATGACACCTCCGGTTCAGGTGCATGAAATGGAGGATTTGGTTTTAGTTTTATTTTACAATCTTTTTGTTTGGCAACTACCGACGCAAAACAAGGTGCAAAATTGTGAACGTTTGGCTATCTGTGAAGACACAAATTTAGAAGAAGAAACAGGGAAAGCCAAGCAATCATTGGTCTCTGAAGATGATTTAGTCACTTCCARCTTGGGATCTTATCATTCAAATCACAGATGCCAAAATTGCAAGGACAATGACGGTGAAGTAGATTGAATAGAATCTGATGAAAGCGATCTAGATCATAATGATGATGATGAAGACTATAACGATGATGAGAAAGACAATATTCAGGAGTACCTATAGAAGAATCTTTTGAGTCATTTTTTCTCTTGCCGACTAGTGGAATTACAGAATCATATTGCCCAACTCCACCATTTGACGAGGTTAACAACCCTATAATGACCTGTGGTTCACTTGGTCTAGAGCTCAAGACACTTAGGCCAATCCAAAACACTCGAGATAGGAGCCACTATGTTAATTCCGTACTGAACCCAGTTGAAAATCTCATTCAGTAGAAAGTTGTTAAGGCAAGAACACTACCACCATTAAAGCAACACCAAATGAAAGAGAATATTAATTTTGAAAATGACAAAAATACCCTTCAACTCAGAATTGACTTTCAAGCCACCACCTCTCAAATCAAACTCAAATTTCAAGCATTCTAATCATTCTAATCCACCTAAACAATAAATTGCAATTGATGTTAGCCTTTCGTTGTAATAGTCACCGACAACTTGACGTCTAGACCCAGAGTATCGGACAACAGACGTTCAGATCCTTAGACGCTCAAACAGAACATAACAGTCACCAATGACTAAATGTTTAGACCCAGAGTATCCGATGACAAACATTTAGATCTCAAACTCTTGGACGCTTAGATAGAACATAATTCACTGATGACTTGTCATTCAGATCCAGAGTATCTGACAACAGACACTTAGATCTCAAACTCTTGGATGCTCAGACAGAACACAATAGTCATCGACGACTTGATGTTTAGACCYAGAGTATCCAACAATAGACGTTCAGACCTCAGACTCTTGAATGCTCAAACAGAACGTAATAGTCGTTGATTACTTGACATTCAAACTYAGRTATCTGACGACAAGCGTTCAAACGCTCAAACAGAACGTAATAGTTCAAACGTTCAAACCTAGAGTATTTAAAACAAAGCAGTCAAGAAATTTTCTCATTTTTTATTTTTTTATTCCATGTCATTTTTCAAACAACCAATGAGATGCACTTTCCCAATAACCTAAATAATCTCTTCTCCTAAAATTTTTCCTAAACTACCTCCCCCACTATCTCCCACTTTCTCCAAAATTATCTCTAATTCCTATTTATCTTCTAAATTATCTCTAATTCCTATTTATCTAAAAAATTATCTCTAATTTAGTATAGAGTTTCTCTCCTAAATTATCTCTAATTCCTATTTATCCTCKCCCCWACTTTTTATCTATATCTATYTAAAGAAAKYTTGGATTAAAAAATTTAAGAATTATTTAAATATTCTAACAAATATAATAACTTTAAAATATTTATTAAAAACACACAAAAAAATAATTTTATATTTTTACAAAATATATCACGAAATTATGTACTAACAATTTAAATTCTGTTTTTCCGGATTATCAATTTAAATGCAATTCAAATAATAAAAACTTAACATTAAAAAATAAAATCTTATTTAAATATTTCAATACATAAATATCATAAATAACAAATATTATAAATATATAAATAAATATATAACAAAATATTTAGAAATATGTAATAGCTTTAAATAAATAAAATTCAAATAACAAAAAAAAATTAAATATTTTACATAACTAGATTTTAAATAGTTACAATAACGAAAATATGTAATAAACTTAAAAAATTTCATAAAAGTAGAAAAATAATTATAACATAATATTGAAATTAATAATAATTTAATATCTTACAAATTTAACAATGAAATTACGTATGAATAGTATAAATTATAATTTAATGGATTATTAAATTCAGTTAATAACAAAAAAATTTAAATATTTTACATATTATTTAAATATTTAAATAACTAAATATTTAACATTACTAGATTTTAAATAGTTAAAATAACAAAACTATGTAATAAATTTAAAAAGTTTCTTAAAAGTAGAAAAATAATTATAGCATAAAATTGAAATTAATAATAATTCAATGTCTTACAAAATTAATAATAAAATTATGTAATAATAGTATAAATTATAATTTTATGGATTATTAAATTCAATAAGTAATTAATATTTTAAAATTTAAATATTTCATATTACTTAAGTAGTTAAGTAACTAAATATTTTAAATTAGTTAAAATAAAGAAGTTATGTAATAAATTTTAAAAAATGAAAAGTAGAAAAATAATTTTAACATAATATTGAAATTAATAATAATTTAATATTTTATAAAATTAATAATTAAATAACTTTAATAATAATTTAATATTTTTTCATAATTTTGTAAGTAACTAATTTCACTTATATCAATTAATAATTCGAGAAAATAACTTTCATAAAAATAATATTTATTAATAATAATTTTAAACCCTTAATATATATTTATTATATAATTTTATATTCAAATATTAATATTTATTGTATTTCAGTAATTATTTATTGTTTTTTGTGATAAATTTATTTTCAATAATTATGTATAAATTAATTTTTGTTTTGTTATTTATCAAAAAAACTTTCAATAATTATTGGAGATTAAACTATTATTATTGAAATTTTTAAATTTTGTTTATTGTACTTATTATATTTTTTATATAACTTATTGATTAATATTTATTAGAGATTATACTTTTATCTAAGATTATACTATTTATTGACTAATTTAATATATTTTTAGTACTTATTGTATTTTTGTAATTATTGTATTTGTTCATTATCAATATATTTTTCAATAATTGTTTATTTTCGCTATAAATTTTCAACAGTTATTGGAGATTTAAATATTGTTATTTATCAAAGATAAGACTATTAATTTATCTGAAATTATGAGTATTCATGAGTTGGTTCAGTTCGGTTGTAGGTTGTTTTGCCAACCAAATTGACATGGTTAGTTGAAATCAACTAATCATTTATGAAAATCGATCCATTGAAGTTGCATAAGTTTGGGTCAACTAATCATTTAAAAATGAAATTTATGATATAAAACATTTTAGACTAAGAAATATGAGAAATTTCCCACTTTTCCATATTAAAAATTATATTTAAAATATAAAATATTAATATATATCAATGGTCAAGTCATCCGATTTTGGTCGATTTACAAATGGCCAAAGTGAAATTGATCCAATATGGTTAGGTCAAGTTGATCGGGTTGGTCGGTTTCATCAATTTAATGAATAAGCTTATCTGAAATTAATTATTGTTATTTTTGTATTATAAAAAAATTTATTAAAAGTAGTATATAAAATATGAATACTTTTTAATTATTTAAAATTTTGAAAATATAAAATAGTTGTATACTCTTATGTGTTTCTATTAGGGTCATTTAGTTGAACACACCTTAGAGTTTTACATTATTTACTTAAACCTACCTTATAGTTTTCATTTTAATAAAATATCTCATATATTTTATAGCTTATTTACTTAATCAACCTTTCATTAAGGAGTGTTTTTTTGCCTGAGCCATGACTTTTTATTCCAAAAATACCCTTATCACTTTTTTGTACAGAAAACAAATTTGACCAAATATAGCCAATAGAGTGGTTGTCCGTGTCTTATTAGGGGCAAAAATTGTATTTTTATTTTTATTTTCTTTTGATAAAATTTATTTAAATGAGCATTAGGGTTGATACTGTCATTTTCCACTGTCATCTAATAGAAAATTGATTAAATCCATAGCAAATTACAAGTGGTATTTTAGTAAAATACAAACTATAGGGTAAGTTTTAGTAAATCCATGAAAATAAGGGGTGTTTTAATAAATGATCATTCCTATTATTTAGCTTTTTCTTAAACAATACCGTGCATCACACGGGCCCCGCTAATAACATTTTATAAGGTGATTGACCTTCCACCTGAAATAAAGTTTGAGGTTAAAAAACAGTTACTGCAGTTAATCTGGATTCTTGTGATACACACATCCCATGAGAAATGCAATCATCACTGAACGGGCTTCGGGCTTCCTTAATTATGTCTAACTCGGTATGGGTTGGATAGTTGTAAAGGAGGTAACCTCATCGGTCTAGTATAAAGGGGTGATCATTTTCAGCCTGCCCAGCACCGCCTGAGAATTATAGGCTTGAGCCTAGTTTTATTTTTATTTTTTGTGTTCAGGCCCAACCCAGTGTTTGGGCCTGGGCTCAACACTTTAAGCTTAACCGACACATATTTATATTTATATTATTTATATATATTTATAAGTATTATTTGTATTATATTTTATATATATAAAATATTATAAATGAAACTTATATATAATATTTTATGTTACAAATGTATAAAATGATTTTTATGCATGTATTACGTATATAGAAAATATTGTATGTATTCAATATTTTATATGTGTGTAGGCCTGGGCCAAAGTAAATACTGAAAGTAGGGGGGGGGGTATCTTAGAAGGCACATATATGTATGCATTGGTTTATCTAAATCAAGGTTTTATTTAATGGATAAAAGTGCAAATAAATCAAATGTTGAATGAAATTGACTTGGGGTTTGCTCCCCTATATTTACCAAAATAGGGGAGCTAGAGAGTCAAATTTGGTGTTGGCTTTACTATTTTGTTTTACTGTTACCAGATTAATGTTCAATTCACAACATCAAAGGAGACTGGAGACAAGTGTTTTAGGCTTCAACTAGCCTAACAATTTATGGGGATGGGCACCTCGTCAGTTCCCCTCTTGGGCAGACAGAACCAAGCCATTTCGATTCATGGTCACTGGTCAGCCCAGATATGAGTTGTTTGGATTAATCCAGGTCCGACTAATTTTGACCCAGTTGCCATGCACTCCAGTAGTACAAGTGCAACGTATGTGTGTGTGTACAGTACAAATAAAGAAAAAAAGGACTCACCAAAGTCAACATGCGTCGGAACCACCATTTTGTCTGCTGGTAGTGGATCTTTTTTCTGAATTGATAAAGCTTCCAACTGCAGGAACATGGAAATTACAACAAAAAAGCTCCCCATTTTCTCTCTCACAACCCTCTTCCTCAGATCCAAGGACCAAAATCCAGCTAATCCATGTAAATAAGCTTCCATCACAACCTTCAACAGCAACGATACTCCAAGGCAGAAAGCAAATTTGGCTATTCGACGACTGATTGTTTTGGATTTGAAGGTGGCGCGAACCAAATTAACAACTGAAGCACAGGCATAAAGAGGAAGCCACAAATACCAATCTAGAGAGACCAAAAACAATGAGAAAGTAATTACTAATTAGGAACATCTAGGCAAAGGCAAAGTGGAAGGTTACCTGGGTCGTCCAGTTGAACTGATGCCGAGTAAGCGAAAAGAGAAGCCAATAACAGGGAGCATGAAGCGAACAGCCTTGCAGGTCTACCCATTTTCTTCCCGGAGTTGGGAGCTTGGCGAGGCATCTCATCCAGTCATATAACAGTCAACCTTTTCGGCAACCAACTACTAGTAATTTTGTTTATATATACATATATTAGATGTTGTTTGTTTTCCAGCCGAAAGTTTTAAAAAGCTTTTCAACGAGAGAGAGAGATCAGTGCAAGGGCGCACACACAAGGCCAACAGGCTATTCTCAATGGGCTTTAACCATTGGATCAGGGTATCTAATCTGAAAGCTTGAGGCCCAGAAGGCCAGCCCGACGGCCTGAGGCATGAACCAGCATAGCTTTAAACTAATTATGTATCTACCATGTATAGATAATAAAAATGCAAATACTTGTAAACATTATAACAAAGGATCCTCATTTAAATGAGCCCGATCTTTACAACAGCAAATTGTGCTTCATATATGGATCCTATTGTGTATGCCTTTACTTTAGAATCAGGCCCATTTGAATGTATATCTGATTTTGTCGGAATTGCTACAGATCAGATCATCAGATGGGAAAGCAGAGAATGGTCTCAACTCTACCCATTACAAGCTTATCGAATAAAATAATAAATGAAGAAAAACTCAACTCTACCCACTACTTGGTTTCAACCTGCAGCTTTTGCAATCTCACCCACGGACAAGTGCTGAGTGCAGACGTCTACCTCTATTATTTTATTGAAAAAGGGTGAATGACATGTTGGTATAAGTATTCCAGTTGAGAAGGCCAGTTTTGACTTTTTATTTATTTATTTGCTTCATCAGTTTGGACTATTAATGAGATACATTGCTTCGTGCCATTATCGCACTGCCCCATACGCCCAACCAACCATAAAGTTGTAAATGCACGTTCTTTCTTTAATGGATCGACTTGGACCCATTTGGGTTCACGGATAATTTTCTCCCATATAATACCATATGGATGAGATACTTTCAGATGTAATTTTTTTGTCAATAATTTTAAAATATGTAAATTAGTATGTTTTAACAAATTCTACTATAAAACAAGATATGTATATATTAAAAATTCAATTTAGTTTCATGAAATATAATTATGTAAGTCTTTGAAAAATTATATTTAATTTTGAAACTAGACATACATGCATGATATAAGCATATTACAGGGGATACCCATGTCGGATATGGAAAATGGACTCTCCATTTCCTGGAATCCTGGATATGTAAAACAGATAGAGCCTCAAAGAGTTGGGCGAGAAGATTACTTTTCTTTTCTTTTTTTCTTTTTCTTTTTTCCACTGAGTAATAAGTTAATGGGCATTACTTGGCCTACATGTTGTTGACGAGTCAAAGAAAATATTATATATCATGCCCACTTTGGATTAAACTCTTATAAATTTTAATACTTAATACTTGAAAATTTGATGAGGGAATACTTTTAACTTACTACGGCTCCTTTGTCTTTGTCTGCCTAAACCAAATTTATCATCACGAATGGGCTCCGGTAGGGGAATTAAATTTAGAAATGGAGTCTTCTTAAATTTAGAAAATTTGAAAAGCATGGTTTTTAGAAATTGGATCTAAAATGGAACCATTTTGGAAACTGATCCTGAGTCAAACTGTTTGACCATTTAGCCCAATTCTAGGTCAGACGGTTTTACGATTCAAAACCTGGCCTGAACTCATGACTGGTTTTTGGGTCTTTCAAAATTATGGTTTAAAGCATGGTTTTCAAAATTAAATCGGACTGGATGGTTAGACCAGAAAAACTGGAAACCAGTCAGGTGGTTGGTTCCATTTTTCCCAAAACTGGATTTTTACCAAAAAATATTGATTTGGTCAGTGAATCGCTGACCCGGGTGGTTGAACCATTTGAGCCTTTCAATGGTTTTGACTATTTTTATTTTTTAATTTTTTTTAAGAACAGGCCGATAAATCAGTTCAAACGGTTGGATCATTCAACCCAGAAACCAGACCCCTGGCCGGTTCGTTGTCTTTAAAAACCTTGATTTAAAGCCCAAATAACTAAGACAATATTTGAACCTTTGAGGTATTAGCTAGGCTGATTTACCATGCTTCTTCTAATGCATTTCAAGGAGAGTGGCCATTTCTGAATCCAGTTCAACCTTCACAAGACGTTAAGACCCCATAAAGCTGGGGTCAATATTGGGTAATGGACCTTTATGAACCGGATCCGGTAGGCACACTCAGTCAGTCAGAAAAAAGCACAACATAATTTTATTAACAATGTGGCCTGTTCACAAATGTATATAAAGTGGGCTACAAGATATTTAGGGACAGGCGTCAACTGTAAACATACTAATTATTGCTTATTTTGTCCAGTCTCAACCTTAGTGTCCGTTTGAAAAGGCTTAAGTGGACATTCATTCAGCTAAGCTGGCTCAGCTGCCTTTTAGTGGCCAGCCCGAAAACGTTGAAAGCCAATTAGGGCTATCCGGATTTTTCATCAAATTTGCTTAAAGGCTGTTCATATAGGAACTACCTTAAAAAGCCAGAAGCGCTGTGATTCAGCCCTCCCAATCGGTCACTTAATTTGCTTCTTTTAACTCTTAAACACGGGATTGACTTCATGTATCCTTTTGAGTGGAGCATAAGAACTTAAGAAGCATAAACTTTTTAGGGCTCAGGTCGGGTTAGGTCGGGTTGAGGCCAACTCTAACTCAACCTTAATCCTAATTCAACCCGATCTATTCAATCCTGATTCTAATCCTAATTAAATTCCTTCAACTCTAACCCAATTCAATCCAATCCGCAGTCAATTTTGGGTTGGGCCCAACTCAACCTTGTTACCATCCCTTATAATCTTGTAGAGCTTCTTAATCTCATATCTTAACTCAACTTTCATTACATATATTAATCCTATGTTTTATTAGTATTTGTTTGTTGATGTTTTTATTGGTTCCTTAAGTATAAAATTCAGAAAAAAAAATTTTTGAAATGACTATAGTTTATTATAAATTATGACTTATAATATAACTTTCATGGGCAGTAACCTATGGGTGGTAAAACAACAGAGAGGAGATAAAGAATAAAATATTCAAAAACATAAAATATGTTATTAAGGTTTTAGTATTTCTAATTAGAATTAAGTGAAGTGATTATCTTAAAAGAAATAAATGATAGGGGGCTATACAATTGTCATGCATATAAACAAATTAATATATGATATATATACTATATTTATATATGATATATACTATAGAGTCAGATTTGAATTGAATTGGATTATCCGAGAGATTAACCCTAACCCGAGCATCAACCCGACCAACCCAACCTGACTTTTTCGAATTAAGTTAGGATTGGGTTGAGGCCAATCCAGCATAAGTTGCAGCCTTAATAAATTTGCATATAGTGATTCTAATTGGGTGTGGGGATGGGTTGGATCCGGCTTGGGGTTTGAACCAACAAAACAAACATTATTGAGAGTGGTAGTATATAACTATATATCAATCTTTTATTTGAGATACTATTTATGTATGCATGTATTCGTCTTTTATAAGTCCGGATTTGGGTAGACCCAGTACTAACCCAGTCAATAGTCATAGTCAAGTCCAATTTCAAAGAATTGATCCAACGGAACTGGGACCTGTCCACCTTGTTGTAACAAGATAGGTTTGATGGGAAAGGCCTGTCTGGTCGATCCAGACCATTGACAATATAGTTCTTTATCCATTTTGGGTATATCTACAGATGCATAGTGAAGTCTCAGCACCTTCGGTGGACATATAAAAGCCTAGGTTATGGATTTGGTCGGTCGCCTTCAATTTTTCAAATAAAATAATCATAAAGCCTATGGCTATATTTTATTTGGTTAGTTATATATATCCCTTCATTGTAATATCATTCTTTTGGGAAATTAAATATTTTGTTTTCTTAAACCTTATTTGTATTATATATATATATATGTATTTTGTATTTGTATTCTTATCAAACTAAAAGGAGTATAAATATAAACATGTAGAATGCAAAACCTTATATTTGTATTATTTTGTATGTATTTATATTGTGTATATTTATATTTGTACTCTTTTCATATTGAGCTTTAATGGTTCGTTTGGATTCCGATAAAGGATGGGATGAGAAAGGAATATATATTTTTCCCATTTTTGTATTAAGTGTTTGTTTCTTAAGAAATAGTATGATCAAAATTCATTTTCCTGTGTTTGTTTTTTAAGAAAATTTAAAAGGAAACATATTAAACCAAGTTTGTTGTTTGTGATGACTTGAGATCAACCGAACAAAAAAAAAGGTTTGAATCAAAAGTTGGACACAAAAATATCATATCTAAGATCAACCGAACTAAAAAAAAAGGTTTSAATCAAAAGCTCGACACAAAAATATCAAATTTGGTGATAAGAGGAACTCCAGATCTGGAACAAACATATTCCAAAAGCTAAATTTGGAGCTCGGGGCGAACAAACTCAAATGGGTGTCAGTATAGAAGCTAGATCTAGATCAAAACATGCCAGGAGCTAGATCTGGATAACCAAGGACGAAGGGAGCCGGCGGTGAGATTTCAAGGGGAACCTATCCAATAGAACAGGTCAAGAATGGTATAAAAATGAACGAAAATGCCGAGATAGTGCTGGATCTAAGCTTACCATTCAACGAGAACGCTGGAGATGGCGTCGGAGATGTTAACATTGGACAACTTGAAGGAAGGAGACGATGTCTATGAAAGTGGCTCTCGACAATATTTTCTCACCACTTGCCTATTTTTTCTTTTCTTAGCAGGGTCTCACCATTTTAGTGCACCCCGCTTATTGATTTTTGGGAACACACATCCCTAGTGTTCCCCTTTCTTTCCTAGGTTTTCCTTTGAAACAAATACACACAAAACCGAATATTCCCCAAAGATGCTTTCCTTTCCATCCATTTCTCGGAAATCAAACACACCATAAAGGACAGGTTTGGGACTTCTTGCTTAGGTTGTGTTGTACAATCTTGGAGTAAAAAATAAAAAAAAAATCTTTGCTCTTCCAAATTAGAACCAATCATTGTTGTAAAACAGTTGTTGATCTAGGTAATTGAATTATTTGACCAGAGAATTGGTCATCTATGGTTGTATTTTGCACTTCGCGTGGTTTTCAAAAACCATTGACTTGGTTACTGAAGTGCTAACTCGAATGGTTCAACCATTAAACAATTCAACCCAATGAATGATT